GTAAACAGCATGAGTGAACACAAAGATACGTTCTGGCTGTGTCTTTCCTAATTTTTTCCGAAGACCCCTCGCCCCCCCCCCACACACACACCTTGAACACTGCCAGAACGTATCTTTGTGTTCACTCATGCTGTTTACTGTGGATTAAAGAAGCCATATTCTTCGCTGGTTTGTTTTTTCGGGTTTGTCTCGTTCTTGATTTCGCTGCACTTGTTTGGAGAGCGAAAGTGTTGGTCACAGTCTACATTGGTTCACTGCTCAGGCATTGTCTGAACCGAATTATTATATATACATACATATATCTATGTATATATCACTTTCGCTGCTCCTCGAAATAATGTACCCTAAAAACATCTAGTCCAGAAAATGTATTCGTGGAATTGGCCTAATGATATTTTACAACTTCTCCGTCTTGAATTAACTTCTGGAGATGTACATGAGACTATCGTAGACAAGGAATCCATAGAGTTTACATACTTTCTTATCATCACGGGATAGGGTTACAAGATATATTAAATCTGTAATTTCCCCATACAACAGGCTAATTTATCTCAATGCTCTTCGTACCGCTGACAAAGAATCTAAACCATAGTTTGCAATATAATTAATTTATTGTCAAATCAATTATACGGTTATTATTTACAGTCAGTTCTTATTCAAATGCAATATAGGGTGGAATGGTAATATTCAGATAGAGAGCCTACACACTTTGGTAAGGACTGTGGAATATGCTTTCTGGGTGAATGAAGTATGTGGTATGACAACGTCAAAGCAAATATAAAATTGTAATTGTTGAAAAAGAAGAATTCAAGTAACAGTTCTTTCAGCGTGGCTGGACCGGTTTGAGGATTGATCGCATTTATTTTTTTCTGAAACAAGAAACCACAAGACTGTCACAGCATCTGAATTCGATATTCCGTGCATCAAAAATGATCAACACATAATAGTGCATGATTTGATAGAATCACTCTTACCCGGATTCGGGAGATGGTTCTTGTACGGTAGAGTGTTGCTTTGTTGAAACTCACAATATCCTCGTGTAGTTCCTCACTCTTAGCGTCTATGAACAGAGTTTGGGTCGTTTTCACGGTGTTGTACCTTGACAGTTTTGAGGTTTTTAACTGCTTTTGTGACATTAAAGTGCACCGAATTTGGTGTCCTTAGAACCATCCGATTCCCGTCCACATTATGAGAAGATTATATTTTAAAGGCGAACATTTTACAATGAATTTGTCTTCCGCTCCATCCACGATCCAGTGATTTTCACTATATATATATATATATATATCAAATCCACCGACTATGTGAGGGACCAAGTTGAGAACTTCACAGGTATCCATCCCGTCGCTGATCCGATAGTTTCACTTATGAATAACTGTTTCTCGCATTTCCATAGCTCTGTACCACGCATGGCGTTTTATGTAACTAATTTCTGTACTCGCACATATATATATATATATGCTACGGAAGTAATGCGGGTAATGACGGTTATTTTTGCTGAAAACGTTCCTACCTTACTTTACTGACTGAAGCATGAACGTCCCAGAACAGCGTCTGCATCTGAATTAGGTACAGGGGTGATAGTTTCAGCGGGGTTTTCTGTCTTCACCTGTATTAGAGGCTCCATATCTGAAATAATCACGCAACTGCTGTTTTATAATTAGTTGTTCCGGAACATTGTCCTTCTCAAACGATTTAAAAGCTTTCTTCTTTGTCATTGATAGCGCATGCGATGTATTCCGAATGAGAGCGATCTCAAGTGCATTGCTCGAACTCCGAAACGAACGATCAATACACAATGGACTGCGGTTAGTATTTGGTCCGCTATGAAGTATGAAGTTCTATCAGAGCTATCATTATGAAAGTCTAAAATACTATGAACAGCTTATAAAAGCACTGAGTGCGTATTATGTAGCAAGGTAAAATACTGTCAGTGTTAGCAAACAGAAACTTGTTCAACTTTCCGCAGTCATTACTCACTCGTTGTTGTTCTGTTTACAAAACGTTCGTCTTGGTTGACGAAGAGATGATAGTGATCCCCTCGAGTATTGCATCGGGGTTTCTGGCGCGACGTATCGGTTATAATGATGATCCGACTTGTTGATATTGGATTGTCTGTATCGACGGGGTTCGGGTTTTTCATACACACGGTGAGCTTGACCAGGTCTCCCGTGTTGAGATGACAATGAAATTTGACTAGCAGGGGCACGGGGTTTGTTATGGACAGAGTATCTCTCAGCTGGTCGGTCTTTGGATTCATTTGATAATTGGGATCTGATAAAAATGCAAAGATTAAACAGTTGTTAGCTCTGTTTTTAACTTTTCGACTTTGTTTGCACATACGTCAAAGTGGCAATCCTGTTGATAAGCGTTGGTCTTCCCAGGCAGCCTTTGTATGGCCGCGGCCCCCCTTCCTGAATGCCGTATATTCAATCAATAAAAAAGGAAGGAAAAAGACATCATCATTGTTTATGTTATAAAATTATTAATGGTATACTGAAGTTAGCTAAAAGTGATTTGTTTACAAAAATTCGAATTAATCTAGCGTCTGCACTAAGAAACAAGAAGTGTATTAAAGTTGCCAGTTTGTGCAAGTATATTTCTCGATGAGGAACAACTGTGACGGAGAAATGCGTTTAATCCAAGTTATGCCTGTCGGTTCTATCCTTCTCATGATATCAAACAGAAACGTCTTTTCTTCCGACACACTTGTTTAGCGATTTACAATACAGAATTTATAAATAGTGAGCTCCGCTACAGATTACTCAAGAACAGTGATCATCCCTGTGTTATCCGGATTTTCCTCTTCTCGACTGAAGGTGGAGAGACAGCTTTCCGTACGAGCCTTATCGCATCCACTACGAATATGGAGGTTCAATGGAAACAGCAGTGACATCGATTCTTGGTTCTGGAGAAATCTCCCCTGGAAGATATTCTCGTTAATTTAGTCTAACACATCAGCTGGCCGCTTTCCAGAAGCTTGTCCTTCTTGAAAAAGTATAGCAACTCTAGACCCATTGCTTTCTGATTGACGAGAATCAGTAAATGATCGCTCGTTGTTGTTTGAATTCCAGGAATTCATTTCCCAGATCAGCATAGATAATGCTCCTAACGTACATGAGGTCTTCATGTTGTTTATGGCAGGCTATAATGAATCATCTGATAGCATGGCGACGTCCATAACCGCACACGTTTATCCATGGTTGCGGTGTATGGCAGCGTGTGGTACTCCGTGTAGTTTGGTTATAAATAGGACGCACTATGGCCACCATATTCCAACGGCGTTTGAATGGGTGCTATACAGGACTTAAAATGCCTCACGAGACCATCGGACAAAAGAACGGTGAATGGCACCCAGCATGTCCCGTAATAAAGCAAAGTTATGCCAATTTGAGACTGTATTTAGACGGGAGCGACTTTATCACCGGTGTTTGTCTGGATTCTTCCTGCTGTGATCAAGACAACCTGTCTTATATGCATACTTTCAGGGGTTGAGAGGAAGCCGTTCAGTTTGTGACAATTATATCTGGGCATTCGGGAGTACTCACCCCATCTCACATCGAACTACGTGTCCGATTTTTGCGGTTATCGCCACACAAGGGTTATGACAATAAGATGCGGATCAGTTACGAACACCAAAGACGCAACCAATGAAGGGATAGTTAGTGGAGAAATTTCAGAAGTGATTACCACAGAAAAACAGCGAATTCTTTAGCTCAAGGGCTTGAAAATTAGTTTTAAAGACGGACTTCGTCGTGGATAGAGCAAATTAAGCGAGAACTGAAAAGCTATGAGGCATTATACGGTTGTTTCGACCCGGTATATATATATATATATATATTTAACACCGGCTTGAGAACAAGCTTGGTGCCAACGCCACAACAATATTAACAATAACCCGGGGGGGGGGGTTGGGATACAGAATATAGGGAAAAAGACGTAACTGTCAGAATAGAAGATTACGAATAAGTGGAATAACAATGTTTTTGTGTTTCACCGTACATTTTTTGAATTTTTTTGTTGTTTATGGTTTTTAATGGGGCACGGGATTTCGATAAGCAAACTGTACACCATTCGTGCCACTGACTTCTATTCTGGGCCATATCTCTCAGCGTCTCTAACCAACGACAGTCCTCATCCCTTTGGCCCCAACCTGGAACGTGGGCTGCACCAACCGACCTGGTTGGGTCTCATCAGCAGTGCGAATCCATCTACCCAACTGGGGATCGAACCGGGGACCTCACCGGTCATACAGCTACTTTTCTGCTTAGACATAGTACATTTAATATTGAGTGAGTGAAATTACTAGTTGCGAATTGGTAAACACATCCAGATGGTGAAGCGGTTAAATATGCACTTCAGATTTCTAGTACTCATTTCGGAATTTTCGAAGGACGCCAGAGTCTAATTTGAATCCCCTTTGGTTACAGCCGGAATAGGATAAA